TCGATAGAGTAATACTATGTATGCACTCTTCTCAGAGGGTTATCATGCAACAGCGAACCACTATCGGAAGGTAAAATGGCTCCTTTATTAATATCTAGTACTAATAATAGTACGAATCACGATACATTTTTCGTTTGAAATCATCAGTTTTGACATCATCACGTGCAAGAAATTGCATTTTTAAGCTGCTTACAATTGAGGTAATCCATGATATAAGGCCCACGTCACTTTCCACTTCGTATTATCGCATACACTATTCACTAGTGATACTCTCGATACTTTTTCCCTCCTCCGTCACCCTAAAATACTTAGAGTTAATATATTTTGCAAGCCTGCGCAAACATAAGGTCGAACATCCAACGTCTCCGGCATATCCGCCGCAATCGCTTTACTTGTTTATCTATCACCCTTTCATCATCAACTCTATTATATACTATGACTACGCTTCGACATATATGTATCACGATACGGATTAGTATACCTAACACACACGACATTTCGCTTTACACTAAGTACTTAAATATTACACGTTCAACCCAGTCTATAACAAACGTTAAAACCATGGTAGCGTAAAAATCGGGCGATGAGAAAGAAATCGAAGATGACTATCAAGAAATATGACAAATTATTGAACAGAACGATGAGAAAATTGCAAATGAATCGTCGCGAAAATTAAGTTATGATCCAAAAAGCTCAAGAAACAAAAATTATCAATTGAAGGATATAGGAAACAAATTGAGGGATATAGAAAGTAGGATTAGCATTTTTGCGTTAATAACTTTTGGCGATTTCTTAAATGATATCTCACGAGTTTAGCAACGGTTGTGTTTCCATCGAATCCAACTTGCAAACAGTCGGACACTTTGGAAAAGCGACCAATTTTTTTTTCCACTAATACGAGGCTGTCACGCGAATGATTTGTCGATACGAAATCGATTAATTAAGAAATTTAGCTTTCAATAAATTGATTTTATTCCAAACCAAATTACTCGAAGCAAAATCTAAAAATACGGTCGGATTTAACTTTTAAACTAGATTAAAGTTTATTGAATTATAACAGATCTCAATATAGAAACACTAGACAAATTTTTATCCATCTGCATGTCCATACTTCGAGTACAACAAATATTACAGCGCAAAAAAATACATCCATAGAAAAAAAAATTGAACGAAGAGCAATGCTCAAACAGGAATGTAATTTATTTCAAGAACATCGAACATAGAGTTATCGTCATAGTTATCGCCTCGCTACGTGCAGATAATTATTCTACTCTACATCGTGGTTATTCATGTACAAAAAATCGAAATATAAATACATCTTATTCTTTTAATCAAATCGCGCTAATTATTCTTTTGCCTCTGTTAAATCGTAAACATGACGTGACTAAAGAGTGATCTTATGCGTTACATATTCTTTTGGCACCTTGTTAGATTTTCATATTATGATCATTCAAGAAATGGCCAGAAAAATTGTTATTTTTCAGAGACATACAAACGACACAAAAATGCTTTAATTAAATAGTCTCATTTGTTATGTTCTCATTGAAATAGAAAAGCCAAGTGAATTATAACCGAATCCGAGAAAAAAAAGCAAATAATGTAAAAGATATTATATATGACGACAGAGAGATATATTTTGCCGCCGAATTCACATAGACTGAGATGAAAAATCTATCTCAAGCATAACAAAAAATATGAAGGAAACAACTTCGAAGTACATCTACTGAAAGCGACTGAAAAAAAGAAGATTGTATCTTTTACGTTTTTTGTTTAACACCCTGTGTAACACGCGAAAACGCTAGAAACGATCCTATGATATTTAACGGTAGAAGGGAAAAGGGAGACTCCACTAAATATTCTCACGGTAACGAACTTCGAAGTATCCATGCTTATAATATATATATATATATATATA